TGTCCAAACAGAACAAGGGAACACTGCATAATTTAAAATCAAGAAAGGTGTGCGTCAGGGCTGTATCTCTTTCCATATCTATTTTTCCATACCCATTCAGTCTGTATGAAGATCAAATAATTCGAGAAACCAGACTATATAAAGGAGAATGTGGCATCAGGATCAGAGGAAGATTCATCAACAACCTGCATAATGCAGATGACATAAATTTACTTGCTGAAAGTGAGACCTTAAAACACTTGCTGTAAAAGATCAAGGACTATAGCCTTCAGCATGGATTATATCACAGCATCAAGAAGACAGAAATCCTTCCCACTAGGCCAAGAGGCAACATCATGATAGATGGAGACAAGATTGATGTTTTCAACCGTTACATCTTGCTGAAATCCACTGTTAACTCCCTTGACACTAGAAGTTAAGAAATTTAAAAAATGTGTTGCACTGGGAATATCTCCTGTCAAGGACTTCTCCAAAGTGCAACAATGTCAGTTTAAAGACTAAGGTGTGCCTGATTCAAGCCCTGGTCTTTTCAGTTACTTCCTATGCATATGAAAGTTGGGAAATGAATAAAAATGACAGAAGAAGAATTGACGCCTTTGAATTACAGTGTTGGAGAAGAGTACTTAATATCCCATGGGCTGCCAAAATAACAAACAAATATGCCTTGGAGGTGCTTCTGAGAAGCAAGGATGGTGGAACGTTGTCTTGCATACTTTGGCTTATTGTCAGGAGGGGTCAATCCTTAGGAAAAGACATCCTTGGGAAAATACATCATGGAAACATGGAGGATCGTTGAGAGAAAAGAAAGCCTCAATGAGATGGATTGACAAGAGTGACTGACTCTTATCAATGGGCTCAAGTATGTCAGAGATGATGAAAAGGGCATAGGACAGGGCAGGGTGTAAATCAACAAAGTGAAATGGACCCCAAAGCCAGATCTCAACTTGTTGTGGGGTGTGCAGGAGGAATCCCACCTGTGTTGCTCTCAGGGATCCCATGCCCAGGTGCAGGGCACATCCCCAGGGCAGACCACAAGAAGAGACCACAGGGTGAGAATATAATCAGTTATTGAATTATGCATGTAGAAACTTGAATTAGTGGATGGTTTTTTACAACTAAAAGAAAATTCTTTTTAAAAGCCTAACTTTAAAAATCTTTTTAAAATAACATTAAAGAATTGTATAGACGGTACTGCAATCCCAGAGGTGAGAGGTTCGAATCCACCAGATGCTCTGCTGGAGAAGGAGGAACAATTTCTTCCTTTACCAGTCAGGTCCAGTTTGACGGTACACACACACACACACACACACACACACACACACACACACACACACAAAATTAGAGTCTTTGTGAGAATTAAACATAAAATAGCATGTTCACTTGGATATATAGATGTAAAAAAGCCTAAGCAACAACAACAAAAACCCCTTAAAAATAAAAAACAGAGGGAGAGAATGATTTAAAAAGCAATGTATGATAGGGTATTATGGTTATCACAAGAGTCCAGAATTAAGGTTGCATAGTAGAGTGTACTCGGGGTGGTGGGAGGGGTGCAGGGGGGATTATATACCAATGAAAGAATTTTTCTTTTACTTTTCAAAGAGAGGAGTGAACTTGGGGGAAGGGGGGTGGAGAGCTGGGCAGGGAGAAAAGTGCAACAATGAATGAATGGAAATCCAGAATCTCTGTAAATGTTCGTTAAAATTAAGAAAATTAAAAAAACAAAAACAAAAACAGAGGGAGCTCTGGTGGCCTAGTGGCAAGAAGCTGCACTGCAGTCCCAGAGGTACACGGTTCAAATCCACCAGATGCTTCATTGGAGAAGGAGGAGCAATTTCCTCCTGTACCAGTCAGATCCAATTTGACAATATAATAATAATAATAATAAATTATTTTATAATAAAAAATAAAATTACAGCAAGGTGGCCTAGTGGCAAGAAACTGTACTGCAATCCCAAAGGCACACAGTTCGAATCTACCAGATGCTTTTCTGGAGAAGGAGGGGCAATCTCCTCCTGTGCCAGCTGGATCCAACTCAAAGATACACAACAACAACAACAACTATCCCATTAAAAAATAAAAAATTACAACATGACTAGATTTGGTTTATCCTTGGGATGCAACATTGGTTTTAATATTAGAAAATTAATGTAATTAATAATAACATATTATATAATTAATAATAACATATCAAAACAAAAATATTCTTTTCAGTAGAGGTAAAAAATTCAGTATCCCTTTTAAAAAAAGAAGTTTGCTAGACTAGTAGGAATAAAATGTTCTTAACCTGATAGAAACTGTCTACAAAAAATTTCCAGCAAAGATCTTATTTAGCTGTGAATGGTTTCCAGCTCTTCCTTTAACATCAAGAATTAAGAGGGCTACTGTCACAATGACCAGAACACCTAACAACAACAACAACGACAAACCCCACTGTAGCCGCTGCAGTCAGACAAGAAAAGGAATCGAAAGGCTCAACACAAAACGATCAGACCCACAGCTCTCAAGTCGGTTCCAACTCAGGGCAAACCTCTATCATGCTTCCTTTCTGCAAATCCTAACGGGAGCAGCTGGTGGAGTCGAGTCAACGATCTTTAGGCTAGCAGCCCGATAATAGACTGGAGATGAAGAAATAAAACAATCATGATTTGCAAGTGTTATTCTGCTGGCCATAAACAACAAACACCTGTTGCCCTTAAGCGGATCCTAATTCAGCAACCCTGTGGGACAGGAGTGGAACCGCCCTGTCATGTTTCCAAGGCTGTAAATCCTCATGGAAGCCGGCTTGACTCACCTTTCTACCACGGAGTTGCTGATGTCTTCACACCACCAATTCTTTGGCCAGCAGTCAAACGCCTTAACCACAGTACCACCATAACACCGATGTTAACCACAGAAACCCCAAACCAGCTCAGTTAAGAAAGTTGTGGCGACCTGTACATGAAGCAAGAGAAAAACTTAACACATTTAGGGTATGAATTACCTTTAATGGGAGGGAAGAAGTAGCTCTTCAGAGGTTTTTTAGGGACTTGTAAAGTACTAAAAATACCTTACTTATTTTTAAAAAATCATTAATGTTGTTTGCTGATTGCACACACAGCAGAACATACACTAATTTAACAGTTTCTCCATGTAACAGTTCAGTGGAATTCAAGTTCTGCAACCATTCTCTCCTTTTTCTGCGTTGTCCCTCCCTACTTAACTTATTCGCTACCCCCTCCGGTTCCTAACCAATCTTCCAGTTGCTGTTGTCAGCATGATCCCACAGAGAGAGCTCTTAAAAGGGCCTAATGCTGAAATGTCTGGTTTTTTGAAAAACTTCAGGGGAAATGTTCGGTTTAAGATTTAAAGATTATCTCAAGGCGATAGATTCAGGGGTTAATCCAGCCTCCGTAACTCCAAAAAGTCTAGAGTCCAGGAGCAATTGGAATTCTGTTTTGCATGATCTGCCTTTGGATCAGGGTCTTTCTAAAAAAAAATCTTCCATCAAAACATCCGGTAATGACAGCCAAGCACCATCCAGTTCTCATTTTACGGCAAAGGAGGCGATAATTCATGGAGGCAGTAAGCCACATATTCTATCTCCTCCTCCTATTCTTGACTCTCTTCCTCTATTGCCGCAGATGAATAGAGACCAAATGTTGTGCCTTGGGTGGCCCCTTTCGAGATTTTCATACCTCAGGCAATACGCAGCAAACTGGCAGGTAGAACAAAAGCACGAAACATGTTATTAAAGCAATTAACTAGGCTGTCTCATGAAACCATGACCCTGAACCTCCAAACCCAGAAACCAAATCCCAGGAGGTGCTCGGAGGCACATAAGCAGCTTCAGTAGCTGCTCTTAAGTCTCGTGTGTGTGTGTGTGTGTGTGTGTGTGTGTGTGTAAATATATTTCTCGTACAACTGGTTCCAATTCAACTTTTTACAGGTGTACAACTTCTTGACAGCAATTCCATTAATTGGCTGTGTCACCATATTCTTCATCACTTTGATTTTTCCCATCGTTGTAAATCAAAACTCAGCACTTCATTTAAAAAAAAGTTTTCTTTCTTATTCTGCAGACCTCAGTGCTCATTTTACTATCCTATATAAAGCACACTGGTAGGAAGCAGACAACAGTTTGCATATGTAGTATTTATGTTAAGAATTTTTTTTTAACAACAAAATCACATGTACAGTGCTTTGCCCAGCTCAGAGACATAGGCACCATTTATTGCCCCCGAACTGAATCTGCTTCATGGTGACTCCACAGATGAGACAGGAAATGTTGCCTGGTCTTGTACCAACATCAAAGGAGCCCTGGTGGCATAGTGCCTTTATGTTGTGCAGCTAACCTAAAGGTCAATCAAATCTACCAGCTGCTCAGCGGGAGACGTAAGGCCAGTCCTCTCTCATAACGACTTACATCTCAGAAACCCAGCGAAGGGTGGTGGGTGCGGAGTCAGAACGGACTACACTGCAGTACGTCCATTTCCCACCATGATTACTGATATTAGTGTGACTCTGTTGTAGCCACAGTGTGTTTCAGCACCGTGTTGTTCTTTACCAACCCCTCAGAATTGACCCAGAGATGACCCTTCAGTGGATTTTCAGAGGTAGTTAATTGCAGGGAAGGAGACTGCCCATCTTTCTCCCAGGGTGTGGCTTGTGGATTTGAACCGTGTGCCTTTGCATTGGCAGCATGATTCCTTACCACTTAGCTACCACAGAGCTCCTAGCACTATAGGGCTTGATGTGCTGATGTGATCCATTGAGCTTCCATTAGCTGATTTTAAAAAAGGTCCATTAACCACTTAGTTTGTTTTTCCTAGTCTGTCTCAGTCAACACAATATTGATACTGCTGGTAGATGCTGAATCCATGCAAGAGACTGCCAAAAGAACATCCTCCCCAAGTTCAAGTCCATGTTAGATATGAACAACTGACCACCCTCCTTGTTGCCCCCGTGGTCATGGTGTGGGAGCTGGGCGGTGAGCGGGTGCGGCCTGTTGTCTCCAGCAGATACTCGGGGCCATGGAGTCTCAGGTGGCGGGGGGCCCGGCAGGCCCGGCCCTGCCCAACGGGCCACTCCTTGGTACAAACGGAGCCACTGATGACAGCAAGACCAACCTCATTGTCAACTACCTGCCCCAGAACATGACCCAGGACGAGTTCAAGAGTCTCTTTGGCAGCATTGGTGACATCGAGTCCTGCAAGTTGGTGCGGGACAAGATCACAGGTGTGGCTGCTGTGGGGGTGGGGGTGGGTGGGGCAGGATGGAGGAAGAGACGTGAGAAGAAATGGTCACCTCCAGAGGACAGGTGGCCTATTAAATATAAAACAACACCTGTGAGAAACGTGCTCCTTAGAACAAATTACCCAGAAGCAAAGAGGAGAGGGCAAGAATGGGCAGGGAAACTAGAGGGATGGAAATACGGAAGGATGGATACAAACGGAGAGAAATCACAGAACAGTTTGTGCATTAATTGTAGAAAACTAATTTGCCATGTAAACTTTCACCTAAAACACAAGGATGGGAAAGTATGTTGTGCTTTTTTTTTTTTTTTTAAGAGTATAGGTTCTATGGAAACAGGACTTTCCAGATGGAGGGGTGGAGTGGGCCAGGCCGAGGGACGATGTGGTGACAGGTGTTATTCTCAGTGGAAAGTTGAGGGCAGGCAGGACTCTTGGGGTCTGAGATGTGGTGTGGAAACAGGTGTTGTTCTAGGTGAGATTACTAGGGCAAACGGGACTCTAGGGGTCTGAGGTGTGAAGGGAAGATAGGTGTTATTCCAGGTGGTGAGTTGATGGGGGAAGGTAGGACTCTGTGTGATAGGGAGACAGGTGTGACCCTAGATGAAGGTCTCAAGGGCTATGGGGGCAGGTGAGACACTGAAATGGGTTCAAGGTGTTGGGAGAGAAAAGGTAAAACCTTGGAGGGGCAGATAAGGGGGAGGGGGAGGCTGGCCTCTCAGGCTTGGGTTTGGAAGGATATGGGCAAGTCTGGGATTTAAGCAGAAAGGTCATCTTCCTGGTCCTACCTACAGGGCAGAGCCTCGGCTATGGGTTTGTGAACTACTCTGACCCCAATGATGCTGACAAAGCCATCAACACCCTCAATGGCCTCAAACTGCAGACCAAGACCATCAAGGTCAGTACTGTGGAGCCCTCACTCCTCCCCTTCTTCCTGCACGCCCACCTCTCTCCTTCCCCTGGGCAGCTGCAAGCTCTCCTCCAAGGCTTCCTGCTGGGTCACCTGGGACCAAGGGCTTTTCCTCTCTGGTCCTGTGTGTCTTCACCTGTCAGTGGGACTCTTAACTGCTCCTCCTTGATGCTGTCTGGAGCTGGAGCATCAACTGGCCCTGGAGGTACCCAGCAGGGCAGGCAAGAGTGACCAAGGTCCAGTGGGCAGCCCCGTCCCTGCCTTTGTCATGGAAATAGACGGGGTGGAGCCCATCTGCCATCTGGAGTCTAATTAGGGTCTGGGAGGGTAGAATGGGGGGGCCTCTACCTTTGTGCAACACACCCTCCCCTTGTAGCATCTGCAGCTGGGACCCTGCAAGCCCAGGTTCCCTGGGGGGGTAGCCATGGAAACCCCCCCTCTAGGTTCGCCTGGGGGTGTCTAGGCTCCACCCACAAGTCTGCTCTTGGACGGGGGGGGGGGGGGGGGGAAGGGCTGAGGGAGGGGCATCCATCTGGCTTCCAGTTCACGTGGGAACAGGGGTGCAGGAATCTGTTCTCCCTGTGGCGGAGTGGGGCCAGATCCTCACCGGGTCCCCCCTCCACAACCAAGCAGACCCAGAAAGCCCTGGGGCGTGAGTGGTCGCGGCACCTAGTGACTAGACTAAGAGCCAGCTGGCCGCCACGTGTGCACAAACAAACTGTGCGTGGAAGCCCGCGTGCGTAGGTGCGTGCGTGTACGCATGCGTGTGCCAGTGTGTGCGCAGGCCCGTGGACGCTGACGTGCGCGTACGCATGTGTGCCCTTGGATGTGTGGACACTGATGTGCGTGTACGCATTTGTGTTCCCGTGGGCGCGTGCGCACGGACGTGTGTGTGCTCCCATGTGTGTTTCCCTGTGTGCGTGAGCGCGTGCGCGCTGACGTGCGTGTGCCCGTGTGTGCGTGGTCGCTGACGTGCGTGTACGCATGTGTGTTTCCCTGTGTGCGTGGGCGTGTGCGTGGAGCAGGGGTCTCCGTGTAAGGCGCTGTGACTTGGGCGTGCTGGTGGCTCCGTGCCTTGCGCCGTGACGTGCCGTCTGGCTGTTGGGTGGCGCGGTGGTTTGTCCGTCCACCGCGCTGGTTTGACAGGTGGTGTGCGCCTCCAGCCGGGGCTGTGACAGTTCCCGTGGCGTGGGACAGGTGTGTCCCCCGGGGTGTGGCGGTTCTGACCACGTCCCGTGAGACCCTGGGTGTCACTGTGATGCGGCAGCCACTTGGCCCACCTGACGGCTCAGGTCGCTGTGGCTGTGAGCCGTGTGGCGCTGGGTGGCCCGTGTGACTGAGTTGCTGGGGGCTCCTGCAGGCTGTGACCTGAATGCCTGAGCCACCCGCCAGGCCGAGGGGTGCGCGAGGAGTTAGCCTCCTGCAGAGGGACACGAAGGACCCTGCAGACCTGTGTCTCAGCTGCTCTTAGACCCCCAAAGCCACACTGAGAACGCAGGGCCCCCTGTCCCTATCTCCTGCCCCAAACCTGATTCTTCAGGAGGACTTCTGTCATCAAAGTTACAGTTCAGGGGAGAGAAGCCTGTCAAATTCATACATGGTTAAGGGAGGTGTTAATTGCAGAATTAATAGCAGCTCCTGGGCTTGTCTTGCTGTGAGGACCCCAGGTGCACACCGCTTTGTGTCAGTCAAAGCCACCCCCACCCCAAGAGCACCCTCAGCCCCTATGCCCCCAGCCCACCTTTACTTGGCTCATTCGATAATTAGTTACTTCTGATGAAGTGATACAGGCAGACAGCTCACTGCTGGGAACAAAAGCTGAACCCTTGCCAATGACCCCTGTTGGCCTAGAGGTTAATTAAAAAAGAAACACAGAAGATAGAAAAAGGAGGAGGGGAGCTTATGCTGCAGCCCCACCCCCATGCTAAGGGTCACCCCTTTGGCATTTGGGGGCTGGTCCTTCCAACTCTTTCAGGACCTTTATAAACACATAATGAGATGGGGTCACACAGGCACGCTGCTTTGTAAATGGACTTTTCTTTCCCTGGCTCCACAATGCTCACTACTGTTTGGGAGATAAATACACACGTCCACCATTTTCCAAACAGCTGCAGAGAGTTCCATTGTTGAGCTGGACCCTTATAAATGACAGAGATCAAATCCTCACAGGAGAGATGTGCAGTATTAATTCGAGGCGAGAAGTGCTTTGGGAGAGAGGAAAGGGAGGGGTGCCCATTGAGACAGGAGCAGGGAGGACATTCCACTGAAAATGGCAGTGGTCAGTGTTCCCAGGCGGAGGGAACAGACAGTGCAAAGGCTCTGGGGTGCTCAGAGGCTGAAGCTAAGAGAGCAAGGGGGAGAGAGGGTAGATAGAGGTGAGGACACAGAGGTGACGGGGCATGACCAGGGACCTGAGGTGGAGTGGGCTGAGACATGACTAAGGGATCCCCAGGTGGTCACTGCCTGCTGTGGGGACAAGGGGTGAAGGGGGCGGGGAGAGGCAAACTGCATGAGACCATGGTGGGAGTGCGGACAAGTAGTGAGTTCTGCATGGTGAGGAAGGTGGAGACAACCAGACAGATGGCGAATCAGATGTTGCTTAAGACAAAAAGGGTCAAGCACAACTGCAAGGCCAGAGACCTGAGCACCAGAGGACTGCACAGTTGTGACAGCCAGGGGCCGGCAGGAGTAGGACACAGAGCATCTAAAAGACCCCACCCACGTGGGGCACTGGGAGGCAGAGGTCACCTGAGTGAGCCACTCAGGCAAGAGGCCCTCACTGAGGACTGGTGATGGGTGTCTCCTGCGGGATGATGGTGGTTAAAACCATGCATCTGCACAAGTGTCCCCAAGGGGCTGAGCAGAGGCAGGGAGGCGGAGGGCCCACAGGCCTGGCCCACTTTCCAAAGGAGTCAGAACACGGCTGTGTCTGGGCTGTAGAGCCAGAGAGTGAAGACTGGAGATGCAGAGGCCTCTGAGGAGGTGTACCCAGGGGTGTCCACTCAGTGCCAACAGGGCATGTTATGAACTACCATAGCCACGTCCCCTCCCATTCCAGCATGCTTGTTGTGTGGACAGTTAGGGCATCTCTGTGACCCAGCAGTGATCTGGAAGTGGTCTCACGCTCCCCACCTATGAAGCAGGCCTGCCCCTTAATCCTGCCCCCCTGGCCCCCACCTCCAGGTGTCCTATGCCAGACCCAGTTCTGCATCCATCCGGGATGCCAACCTCTACGTCAGCGGGCTCCCCAAGACCATGAGCCAGAAGGAGATGGAGCAGTTGTTCTCACAGTACGGTCGCATCATCACCTCGCGCATCCTGGTGGACCAGGTCACAGGTCAGGCAGGCCCTTGAGGCCTCAGTCTGCGGCAGAAAGCGGGTGGGAAGGGTCCCACGTGAGGGGGCAGCACCTTCACTGCCCCATCATACCCAGCAGGCGTGTCGCGGGGTGTGGGGTTCATCCGCTTTGACAAGAGGATCGAGGCCGAAGAGGCCATCAAAGGACTGAATGGGCAGAAGCCACTGGGTGCGGCCGAGCCCATCACGGTCAAGTTTGCCAACAACCCGAGTCAGAAGACAGGGCAGGCCCTGCTCACTCACCTCTACCAGTCGTCCGCCCGGCGCTATGCTGGCCCCCTGCACCACCAGACGCAGCGCTTTCGGTGAGCCCATCACCCCCTAACCCAAAGCACCCAGGTCTCAGGCAGGTGCTCTCGGCTTGCAGCCCCCATCTATGAAACCCTGTGCCCGCAGGGTGGAGGGATGAGGGGATGGCACCCACGTGCCAAGGCTACTGTGCTGGGCCCAGCCCGGGCGCACAGCAGTCATGACATGTGTGCGGCTCCTACAACCAACATGAAGAGTTTGAGTCTCCAAATTGGGGACCAGACCCCGTTACCCCTCTTCCAGGCGTGTGGCTGAGAGTTTCTATTTTGTAACATAAACATTTAATAAGTGTATTCGCGGTGCTAAGAGATTCCCTGAGTGGGGCAGAGGAATGGAGCCTGGCCACCACCGTGAAGGTTCACACGCCCCAGCTGGAAAAAGCTGCCCTCAGCTGCTCCCCTCTGAATACATAGGGAGCCAGGATTTGGAATTGACTTGATGGCAACAAGTTTACCACGTGCTAACATTTGAGAAACAAACAAACAAAATCCCACTGGTGTCCAGATGCGGAGAGGCTGGTGGATTCAAAACCTTGACCTTGTGGTTAGCAGTGCCCCAGAGAACACAACCCAAGGGTTCCCTGTGTGCTCCCCACGCTTATTCACTGTGCAAAGTGATCTGAGGGGAGTGCATGCAGCCTTTGCTTTCCACAGGTACAAATGGGGACCCCAAGGCAGAGAGTCTCTCTGGCCAGCCAGACTCAGCATGGAAGAGGCTTGAACCCAGAACCCTGAGTTCTTAGCGTTGGAAATGGGGACAGTCTAGGGAGCCCCTTATGGCCCAGAGTGGTGGAGAGGAGTTACACTCCACAACCCCTACTAGTGTCCCCCAGAGCTGGCTGTGGTGTTACTGCCGCCTTTGTTAGGAAAGCAATTATCCCCGGGCTCAGATGGGACACACAGGCAGAAGGGGAGGACAGGACACGGCCAGCAGCGCAGGGCAGGCGGAGGCGGTGCCAAGAGCGGGTCGTGCCAGGCGGTGTCCAGCCGGGAGCGGCGGGCGGGGGCAGGGCCGTGTGGCAGAAGCAGTGGGGGCGGGGAGGCAGGCTGCTGCGGCGTCACTGGCCGGGGTGGGACTCTGGCCGCCCCTGCCTGACCACCCCCTCTGTCCTCACAGGCTGGACAATCTACTCAACATGGCCTACGGAGTCAAGAGGTAACAGTGCCCCCGCCCCCTGTCCTCGCTTGCATCCTCAACCTGTGCCCCACTCCCAGCCCCAGGATGACCAACCTCCTGGCTGTGAGGAGACCAGGCCTCAGGCACACCTAGGTGGTCCCCTCAGGACCACAGCCTCAGTCCTGGAAGGGGTAGGGGTCCCACTGAGCAGCAGAGCCACCCTGGGAGTGACCTAGAGGATGGGAGGAGACCCCACAGGGCACAGGGACTGGGCCTCTCCGTCCTCTCCCACCCAGCATAGGTGAGGATGTTACTCTCACTCAGGGTTCCCTCGTTCATCTCCAAGGTCACGGGATGCCACCTCCCCCAGGGGTCAGGGGTGGCCTGAGGTCCCCGTAGTCCGCACCTCTGACATTGTGACTTATTCCCTAGCGAGCTGTTGAGTGCGTGCTGTGTGCCAGTGCTTGGCTGGAGCTGGGGCTCCGGTGTGGCCAAGTTCCCGTGCCGACGACGTGATTGACGCAAGCACAGGCCACCCGAGCTCGGTGCTGGGCACAGTGAGCACTCAATACAAGTAGCCCCCGTGCTGGTGTTATTAATCACGTCAGGGCCTGCAGGGAAGCAGAAGAGAAGGGAGGGTGGAGACCACTGAGAGATCTCGGGATGCTGGGCCAAGTGGGAAGGGACTCGAGGAGGCAGGAACAGCCCGTGCAAAGGTTGAGAGGAAGGAGCCAGCAATTAGCGCTCTGTAGCCAAGGCTGAGCGCCTCTGGCCCTGTCTGAGGGTGTGAGACCCTGCAGAGAATGTCACTCACTCCCTGTAGTCGGAACAATCTCAGAGCCGACCCTCCAGCGGGTTTTCAGAGGCCGTAAACCATGTGGGAGATTGCCCGTCTTCTTCCTGTGGGACACTTGATGGATTTGAACTGCCCGCCATTGGGTTGGGAGCTGCTGGTGGATTTGAACCACCAGAGAGGCACCGCCTTTGGGCTCGCTCCTTGCAGACTATTCCATCAGATCTCCTTGCAAGGAATGCCGCAAGCTCACTTGAGTGCAAAGTGCAGTTGTGGGTCCAAACACAGCAGAGATACAGCAGAAGGGGCAAAGGGTCAGGCTGGGCTTCCTCTGTTGCACGTGTGTGGGGCTGCTGAGGTTGAGCTGACTTGATGGCAGTGGACACCACTATTCATTCACTGGCTCACTCACTGCTGTGTGAGCGCCGACTGTGGGCTCGGTGCAGCGTTGGGTGCTGGAGCCCCGCAGGAAACTGGAGCTGTGTGGGCTGGTGCTCAGACTTGGCTGGGACAAGGCCAACGAGGGCAGAGGGCCAAGGTGGACCCCTTGTCCAAGGATCCAAAGAGGCTGCCCCCAGGAGGGTGCTGCTCTGTCCATGCCCATGTCCCTCAGTGCTCTTCCAGGGTGGGCGTCCAGCCAAGTAGAGGGGTCCGATGACCAGTGGGACAGTGAACAAACAGTTACCACAGTTTTGTAACCATACCCAACTTCAACAAGGTGGCCATGGCCATTGCCAGGGTGAGGTCAGGGTTGAGCGAGGGCAGGAGTGGAAGGAGTATCAAGGGAAGGATGAAGGTCAGCAGTCAGGACCCACAAGGCCAAGGACCTTGGGATGAGGTGGAGATCAGGGCTCAGGTCAGCAGCTGAGGCACAGAATCAGGAAGGGTCAGAGGTCAAGACAGGGCTCTCGGTGAGGCTGGAGGTGAAGAAGGCAGGCAGTTAGGGACTATGGGGTCAGGAACCACCGATGTGGGGGTCACAGCGGGGTCGGGGGGCATGCTGGGGGTCAGGGCAGAGCCCGCGTGACCCCCAAAGTAGTCCCCTGTCGCTCATCGCCAGGTTCTCGCCCATCGCCATCGATGGCATGAGCGGCCTCGCGGGCGTGGGCCTGTCGGGCGGGGCGGCCGGCGCCGGCTGGTGCATCTTCGTGTACAACCTGTCCCCCGAGGCGGACGAGAGCGTGCTGTGGCAGCTGTTCGGGCCCTTCGGGGCGGTCACCAACGTCAAGGTCATCCGCGACTTCACCACAAACAAGTGCAAGGGCTTCGGCTTTGTCACCATGACCAACTACGACGAGGCGGCCATGGCCATCGCCAGCCTCAACGGCTACCGCCTGGGCGAGCGCGTGCTGCAGGTCTCCTTCAAGACCAGCAAACAGCACAAGGCCTGAGCCGCCGCCCGCCCTTCCCACCCCTCCCTGGGCAGCAGAGAGAGAGAGAGAGAGAGAAAGGAGGGGCCCGAGAGAGACAGCAGACAGACCACGGACGCACGAGGCCCCACGTCCCTGCAGAAGCCACAGGGGTGAGCACTCAGGGACGGGAGGGTCTACCGGGAATGGGGGTGCCTGGGATCCCCCACTCCATCTCCTGCCCCCAACCCAGGCTGGGCTGTTCACTCTCTCGTCTTGGTTTTGTTCATGGCGAAGGTTTTTGTTTCTTTTTTCGGCTAAAAAGAAAGCAGAGATGTGCCCTCCACGCCACTGCTCAAGCACCCTCCATGGGTGGTTTGGGAGGTACTGGGGGTTCTCCCCCAGGACCCCTTGTCCAGGACCCCTAAACATTTCAGAGGGCCTGAAAGGGGAACAGGTTTTAAAATCCCCAACAAAGAGAAAAGTGAGGAGGGGTGGGCACACAGGCCCAGAGCCCCTTGGTGGAGCTTGGGGAGAATGGGAGGGGCTGGAAGCAGAAACAAAATGGAAAAAAAAGGGGGGGTGGGAGGGAAAGAAAAACTCTATTTTTGTAAAAAGGGAAAAAGACCTCGTGGAGAATTTTTACTGGGGATTCTTGAACTTGAAAACACACACACACACACACACACACACACACAAAACCACAAAAAAAAAGACAAAAAAAAAAAAAAAAAAAAAAAAAAAAGAAAATATTTTGGCAGGTTATGTTTACCAACTGGGGCAGGGGCCAGGGAGCAGGGCTTCGGGCTGGGGTCCACAGGGCCACGCAGTAACTCCAGCCACACAGCCATGCAGGGGCCACACTCACACCCCAGGGACGCACAGCCGCATGATACACAGACACACCCCAGACAAGCTGAGGACTCCCGGGGCCCCGACAGGTGGAGAGGAGGAGGTGTGGGTGTGGGTCCCACGAATGCAGATCCAGGTGCCATGGACACACGTGGACATATGAGTGTGGAGACACACACCTGTGGACTCACAGATACACCTGCAGTGTCAGGCCCAGACCACAGGTCCCACCATCCACCCTACCCTTCCTCCTCCCTCTGGGCCACGGCCCTGCCCCAGGTATCCGCAGAGTTCCCTCCTGGGTCATCAGTGGTCTCCCTGCCGCCCACCAACACAGGCGTGCCCACACAGCGTCCACGCATCCAGACACACGATACCTCGTTTCACTTTGGCGTCATGGTGGGCGGGGAGCAGTCCTCCCCCCAAGAAACACTTGAGGCCAAAGGACCCTCTGTCCCTGGGGCTGAACCTCCCTGGGCAAGGCTGTGGCCCCCAGTGCCAGGGGCTGGCCCACCCCACGCCTCCCCCACAGCAAGCACCCACCACGCCCGCCCAGGCCCAGGGTGGACGGGCCCGGGGGCCCTGCCCCGCATTCCCTCCCGTCCACTTGTCACCCCTTTTTGGTTTGTTGGGTTTTCTGTCTTTCCAGATTGGTGAGGGCAGTGGACGCAGGCCTGGCCTTGGCTTCTGTCTGGATTTTACATCCCCCTAGTTTTCATTCTTTTTAAAAACATCCAAAAGAAGCTGGAGGCCAGGGCCCCCCAGAGTCCTCACACCCCCCCTTAACGGGCCCAGTCAGAACTGAGAATTGCAAACCCCGACTTTAGCTTTAGTTGCCTTTTCCCGTGTCCCGGCGTTTGGTGTCCGGCCGTGGCCGCATCTGACTGTCCAGCTCTCTCTCCCCCACCCCTCCTGGTGTTTGTGTTAAACGTCTGTGGAGCTTCTGCTGCAAGGAACAAAAAAAAGAAAAAAAATTAAAAATCGACAAAAAATAAACAGAAGAAAACAAAAAGCGACAAAAAAAAGAGAAAACACACAGATTTAAAAAGAAAAAAAAAAAAAAAAGACAAACTGGCACCAGTTAACTTTCTTGTACTTTTTTGCCGAATTTAGCTTCTTGTAGTTTTAACTTATTGCTATGTTAACTATTTATTATCCCTGTTGCCTTGTAAAGACATTTGTGTATATTTCTGTTACTTCATCCAGTTTGCAAGTTAAAGGAACAATGGTGTTCTCTTTCTTTCTTTCAGTTTTGCTGAGATGTGGTTATGCCTAATTTATTTAAAAAAAGGGGAAGTGGAATCATTAAAGTAATAATTATTAATAACAGTAAAGGTAGCTGAGCGGCAGCCGGGGTGCGGGCCCTGTGGCCAGCCCCGCAGCCAGCAACGTCCAGGTCTCCATGGGTTAATTTTTGCTCGTCTTGAGAATTTTTTCAGTCCTATTTAGCTGGTGAAGACCCTAGCTTGTTCTTGATACACGAACCTATTTATTCTTGTGGTTTTGAGTCCTACCACCCTCTTTCTTCCAGCAGGGCAGGTAGCCCCCAGGGGTCCCCCCCTCCCCTGCTGTTTCTTGGGGCTTTCCCCCTCGCCCCCCCCACCCCTCGCCAACACGTGTGCCCACATGGGAAGCGTGCTCGAGGCGTTTGTGAGCAATAAGGGCTGGGTTTGTCCCCCACCCTGGGGAGGCTAGGCTCTGGAGAGGGGGAACCTCCCCACCCCCCATGGAGGCCTAGGTCCCCGCCACCCCCAAGACTGGGAGGGGACGTCTTTTTCTAAAACACAGAACTCAGCCCAGCCAGGCCCCCTCCCTGGAGGCCAAGCCCTCACCCCAGCAGCAGGCTGGGCCAGGGCTCCTGGGGAGGGGGCCAGGGGCAGGGCCAGTGGGGAGTGAGCCCAGCCCTCCCTTCATCCTGTTACTTATTTGGAAGGTTTCAAATCACGACAGAGTCCATGTTGGAGGTGATTTAAAAAAATAAAAAACAAACAAAAAAAGACAAAAAAACCCAAAAAACAAACAAAAAAAGAACCCAACAAGAACACTTTGCGTTGCGTTTAGACTATTTATTACCGGGATTACAGGCCTGGCCACGGTAACAGACTTTTACATGGAATTGTTTAATTATTTGTACTTTTCATGCCAGAAAATAAAAGTTCAGAATCTTACAGCTTGGGATGTCTTTGTATGGGTGTGTGGGGCTGCATGGTGGGGAGACTGTGGGCCTCTCTGGGCTGGGGTCTCCTCTAGAGCTGAGCTCCCATACAGAGAAGACTCAGGGTGAGAGACGGGCTCCCACAAAAACCCAGTTGGAAGCAGCAGAGCTGGACTCGAACCAAGGTCCACCCATCTTATGAGGCCTTTAGTGTAGCGCTAGCTTGATGAGGGAGGGAGCGGCAGGCTGATCCTTCCCAGCCTCCCACCCGGCCCCATTTCACGCAAGCAAAGCAAGACGCAGACACGGGACTGGTGGCAGCCACGTTTATTATTTTCCACGTCACAGATCAATTCACTCACTCCCACCAGGGAAGTGGACAGGGGCAAGCCACCAGTAGGGGCACAGGCTCCAAGGTTGTGTCCTAGCGTGCCCCTTAGGGCCCAGTGTGGCCCCCACAGAACCAGGCACTGTTCTTGTCTGCTGGAGGAGGACCAGGAGCAGCCTGGATCCACACATGTGAGAGGTGGGCATTTCGATGGGGCTGGGTCATGGTCTCGGGTTCTGGGACAGGAGGAAGAGAAGGAGAGATGGAGGGGTCAGTGGGGCACGGGGCACCGAGGCTGGCAGCCAGACCCCAGCCCCCCAGCCTGCTACCTCGTCCCAGGCTCAGCAGCTAGAGCTCATCATGGTCCCCGTCAGCGGGCGGCTCTGGCGGTGGCTCCGGACAGGCGGCCGGTGTGGTCAGCTCCATGAGGTACTCACAGCGGCTGGGCTCTGTTGTGCTGGTCACCACCGTCTCCTTCCCACACAGGAGCCGCACCTGGGGCAGGGCCAGTGGTGGCTGGGTGGGCTCTGCGGCTGGAGCCAGACCCTCCACCCGCCCACTGAGGGCCAGGAACTCACTGTGGTGGAGCGATTGGGGCCCTGCCAGCAGCCTGTGCCCTGCTCGTACTTCATGGCACTGAACTTGTCGTGCTCGGGGCCGGCCCAGGAGCCCCACGTGCTGTGGAGAGGGGGTTGCTGAGGGCTGGCCGGGGGCGTGGGGGCAGAGCAGAGGGCATGTGACCCCAGACACTCACCCAAGGCTGGTGGGGGAGCCTCCGTGTTTGGGTTTCTGTGAGACAAGCTTGAAGGGACAGAGCCGATAGACGTACCTGTCACAGGACAGAGCTGATGAGCAGGGGGACACAGGAGACACCACCAGCTGCAGTGTCCCCACATCCAGAGTGCTCAAAGCCCAGCCCCCGCGCCCCTTCCCTGGAGAGCAGCCCCACGCACTCGTTGGTGGTGAGCTCGTAGCACTGGCTGTAGAGGTAAGCGAACTCCCCGTTGGGGCCAAAGTCGAAGGAGATCTCCTGCTCCAGGTTCCTGGAGGGCAGCAGGGCGGTGAGGGGTTGCGGTGGACAGGAGCAGGCCCAGGGCCTCAGCCTCGCAGAGCTGGGGCTCCCACCCGGGCCCCTCCCACGGGAGCCACCTTCTCCTGTTACCTCGGTGATACCCAATTACCACCTCCTCTAGGGAGCCCAGGCGCAGGGCTGTGGGGCGGGGGACCAGGGGGCCCCGCACCTGATGGACTCTTCCATTTCCCTCAAGGACTTCTCGGCTTCCTCAAACTTGTCGCGGGCCTCCTGGGCAGCTGGGGGAGGGGCAAGGAGGTCAAAGGTGCCGCCACGGGAGGGAAGGAGAGAAGGTGTACAGCTGCTGCCCCCACCCCATCCCCACCACCCCCACCCCCGGCCTGCTCTGGCACGACTGGGCCCCAGGAGCGCTGTGGGCGCCTGGCAGAGCCCACCCGGGCCCTGGGCAGCGGGACGCGCAGTGGGGAACAGGGCTGGCTCCTTGCCCGTCGGCGTGACACAAACAAGCCGGGCCTGTGAGGACGCAGGAGGGTCCCTGGGCTGCTGGGTGGGGCAGGCCTCCCAGCATTTCCTCCAGGAGCCCCTCCTAGCTCTGCCACCCCAACCCACTGCAGGAGAGGGTGGGGCCAGGGACCCCTGTGAAGGAGGCTGGTGGGACTGAGTGTGGGATCTTCTCCTCAGAGGCCGTGGGGCTGCTGGGAGAGAGGGAGGAAGCACAGGAAGCGGCCAGCACACCCGCTGACAGAGGCCGCTCGGGGCCCAGCCTCACCGTCGATGAGGGCCTGGGTCTCCTCGTCGTAGGGCGGCATCTTGTCCTCCTCGGTGGGGCTGGCCGGCTGGGGGGGCACCTGTGGGGGCAGGCGCTCCTGAGGGAGGGGAAAGTCAGCCGTGGACCCCTGACCCTGCCAGCCCCTTCCCCTCACACACCTTGGGCTGCTCTCCCTGCACCTCAGCCTCAGCCTCTTCCTCCTCTTCCTCTTCCTCCTCTTCAGCCTCCTCCTCCTCCTCCTCCACTTCCTCCAGGGGCGGGGAGGGCACTGGTGGCGGCTGCTCCTCCTTGGGCTCTGTCAGGTCAGCAGTGGGCGCAGGAGGCTCAGTGGGCAGCACCTGGGAGGCCGAGGGGATGGGGTTGATGCTGTGCACGCAGGGTCCACCCACCCGGCACCCAGGCCGGGGTCCACACTCACTCCATTGCCCCGCTGCCCCAAGGGAGGCCTCCCCTCCTTGGAGGGTCTGGGGAGGGGATGGCCGGGGTGGGCCTGTGCCAGGACGAGGTGGCACCTCCACGAGGTGGTAGAAGGGGTTGGGGGAACACAGGGGCCCCTCTCCCACTGACCTCAGACCGGTACTTGTCCCGAATGGCAGCCCAGACCCGGTCATAGAAGGCTGTGGCGTCCGCCTGCGAGTCCCCGCCAAGGAGGGCCTGTGGTGTCAGGATGGTGTCAAGACTGGGGCCTCTGTGTCCCCTCCCGTGGGTGCCGGCAAAGGTGGGGTTCTTAGGCTGTGATGCCGGGCACGACATAAGAGTCCCCGTCCCCAGCCCCAGGGTGCCCAGCTGGCCCCTGACCCTAAGGGAGGTTAGGAGAAGCGGTGGCCACAAGGGGACAGCACAAGCCTGTAGGAGAGGGGCGGGGGGTGAGGTCACTGTCCATCACCAGAGGGACAGGCTGAGAGAAAGAAGAGTCCCGGAGAGCACCAGACCCCCAAGGAAGGGACCCAGCAGCGGGCAGGGATCGGGAGGTGGATGGCCACAAAGGGGACCTGAGGAGTGGTAGGGGAGGGGGAGGTGAGGGGAGGACAGCTGCAGGCCTTTTGGAGAGGCCACGGAGATACACACACTTGAGGAGCCAGGAGGGGGCTCTCGGGGTGGAGGTAGACATGGGGTGAGGCAGACGTGAGTGGAGGCAGATGTGGGGGCGCCATGATGCCAAGCCCCACACACTGGGAAAAGCTGCCCTGGGCAGCGGCCATTCCAGCTCGCTCAGGCGTGGCGGGCAGTGTTGGCCACAGCTGGGTACCCCCGAGGCCCCTGGCCTGAAGCCAGCAGGGAGCTTTCCATGGGAGTGGCCCTGAGCCAGCCTGTCCCCACCCACTGCCCCAAGGTCACCCTGGAGGGAGCTTGCTCTAAAGGTCCAGGTTGAGGGGCAGTGGGGGGTACCTGGGCTTCTCCTTCTGACAGTGCCATGTCCCCATCCGTGTCCAGCTCTGGGTGGGTCTGCAGCTCAGTCAGGGAGACCCTGTGGGGGTGGGAGAGGGACATATGGTCAGGGAGGTGGGACCCCTTGCTCCCAGCCAGGCACCCTGCAGACATGGGCACCCCATGGTGTCTGGTCACCCTCTGTGCAGGGCCCCTCCCCAGGATTAGAAGTAGTGGAAATGGTGGGGCCACATGAAGTGGGGAGGTCTGGGGCTGGGAGCCCTACTCTGGCCCTCACCCCCGAGGTGGGCCAGGTCCTCTGCCACCCAGCTCGCTGATTCCACAATCTTGAAGGGGGTCAACAAAAGGAGTGAGATTGGAAGACCCAAAGACCCCCATTTCTCCAAACCCACCAAGGGTCCACCTCCCCTCACCTTCAGAATCCAACACAGCAAGGCTGTCCTGTGCCCTCTCTAGTCAAGCCCCCATGACCCACATGGGTCAGTGGCCTGGGTGTCACACCCTGCTCCCACGATCCTGTCTCCAAGACCACCTCATCATCCTAGGCTCTGTGCGGCTTCTCACCTGCTCAGCGTACCCTCAATGGGTCACTGGCCTGAGGTCAATAGGCCAGCTCTGAGGAACAGCCGGCACTCAAAGCAGGACTGGCTTCTGCCCAAGAGGTCAGGAACAGAGTGGGAGAGGGACTGTCCCCTCCCTCTGCAGTGTGTACCCATCTCACAGAGGACATAGAGGCCCCCAGCCAGAGAGAAGGGGAGCTGGTGGTGACGGGCAAAGGGCTCAGACTGGTCTCTAAAGGCCAAGGTGGGGGATGGGACCCAGTCCTGGGGCAGGGCGGCAGGCGGGGACACTCACATCCCATCTACGTTGTCGTCCAGCTCCTGGAAGGCACTGGCCGCCCGCTCCTGCTCCTTCTGGGCCTTGGAGGCAGCCTGCTGCTCTGTGGAGCGGTCAGCCCATCAGCCTATGCCCCGCTGGCGGCTCCCAGCACCGACACCCCACAGGACCATTTGCCCCCAGCACCCACTGTGTGCCAGGCCCTCCAGTGTGGACAGAAGTCACGAAGACCCCAGTCCTCTGGGTCGAGGGGGAGGACCAGTGGGGTACCGCCACGGCCAATGCAGAGTGAGCGAGGGGGAAGACTTAGGAAGGGGGCACGGGAAATTCGTGACAGAGGAGGCTCCAGGCCGAGTCAGGCTGGGGCTGGGGTCAGCCTGGGGCACGAGGGTGGAGGCACAGGTTGGGTAGATGCTGGGAAGGCAGGAAGAAGGGTCGATTCTGGGCCAACTCTGCAGGTGGTGGCGATGGAGTTTGCCGATGGGACAGATTAGGTGCGATGGAGAGAGAGAGAGGGAGGGAAGATCCCAAGGCTTGGAATTTGAACAAGTGGAAGGAAGGACAGCGAGCTGTCCTGACCTGCAGAGAGACATCGCTGAGGGAGACACAGAAGAGAGACCAGGCTGTCACTCGCAGGGGCTGATGAGACTGGGAGAAGGCTAAGCTCCACGCCCAGGAGGTCCGATGAGGAGGGAGCAGCGATGGCATTCAGGGGGACCCGAGGGGACTGGCTAGGGGGAGCTAGCTTGTTCCCCAAAGAGGCCACGGTGCAGGGCCCTGGCCACTGGAGGGTCCCCTCATCCCCACCGAGAGCAGGGGCTGCAGTTATTAAGCCTGTGCTGTGTACCAGGCCTTGGCTCGGCCCAGGCTGTGGCGACGCCCCGGTTTCCCGAGTGTTTTGGCTGCTAACTGAGAAAGTGGCAGATGGAAGCCAGCAGGCGCGCCGCGGGAGAGCAAGGGGGCAGTCTGCTCCTGTGACAGCTCAGCCTCGGGGACCCTACGCGCAGTCCGACCCTGTCCTCTGGGGTCACTCAGAGCCGTGCGATCCCACGATGCTCCCTCAGACAGGGCTGACCACTGCCCTCCACAGAAGCCGGGACTAAGACTTGGGCAGGGAAGGGACTTTTGGGGTCACGCGGCTGCTCAGGGCACAGTCGCACGCCAACGCGAGGCACAGGCCCCCAGAGCCAGGCTCAATCTGTCATCCTCTGGGATCTGGGTCAAGATGTGGAGCCCTGAGCTGTGACTCAGCAGCCTCACGCTGAGAACGTGTCCGAGGGAAAAACCGGCCCGAGTCTGCCAGGACACACAGGAATGGGTGCTCTCGGCACTGTGAAACGAGGGGGGCAGGCAAAGAAAAGACTTGGAAACGCTCTTTCTTAAAACAGGCCTGGCGGGGAGGTGCTCTCTCTCCCTGGACCTAGCACTGAAGGCAAAGAGTAAAACATGAGAAGACTTAACTTCGAAACCTAAATCACAAAAACTACAAAATGTACTACAAAGACAGGGGGAAACCCCAGTAATTGGTCTGAACAGATTCTGCCTGAACCAGAGGATAGAATACTACGCAGCCGTTAAAAGGAGGCCGTACGCCTCATCATCTCTCCCCGCACTAGAAAAGCTGTGGTCGAAGAGATCCCAGCGGGCCTTTAACCTGCACTCGCCGGTGGCAGGGGCTCCGGTGGCCTTGGTCACCGCTGTCCCCCAGGCCCTGTGTGTCCTGACTCGGAGCAGGTGCTCGGCAAATGCTGGCTGGCTGGTTTCAAAAAAAGAGGGTGAACCAGCTGGCGGCGGGGGAAGGGAGCACAGATGCTCAGAGAGATGGGGGGTGACCACACGCGCTCGGTTCCCACTGGCCCCCTAGTTCCTGGGAATAAAACTTAACAGTTCACCTCTGAGTCTTGTCAGCAATGCCTTGTCCTCATCATAGTTTGGGGAGGCCCCTGCCCTGACTCCCCCTGGCTTGCTCCAGGGCTGGGGTTCCCACTCCCCTCAACAGATGAGCACCTCAAGACTTCCTGTCATGGCCGCACAGCCTACCAACAGCGAGAAATGCCAGACAGAGGAAAGAGTCCTCCCATCCTTACAGGCGCCCAGAGACACCACAGGCCTGACATCAGACTCCACAGTCGCCCAGCCAGCGGCCACGACGCCCAGCAGCTTGACTCTGCGACTTCTCGGGTCCAAAGTCACAGCCAACAACACAAGGAAGATCGTGATAAAGAAGGTCAGGTCATCCCTTCAAAAAGGACCAGGCTCTGACCAGTCAGCGAGGACAGCCGAGGCACCGCAGCAACGCCAGAGGCTGCCTGGCCGGGGGGGGATTCCAGACACGTCAAGGGGCAAGGGCGACGCAAAGGAAAATCCAAAATGGCTAACTGCATGGGGACCCCTCAGCCATGAAGCTGTGGCCCAGGGGTGTCCCAGGAGGGCTAGGCGGGGCCGGAAGTAACCCAGCCTAAGCAGAGACCCCCGTCCACACGCTGCGTGCGGGGTCCGAGGATCCCCAAGCCAGGGATGTGGGCTGTGAAAGGTGCTCCCTGAACAGCAGTGTCCTCAGTCAGTCAGCAAAAAGGAGAATCAAGTCCCTTCTGCGAAGACTCCTGATTTCGTGCCACAAGTCACTACAGAATTACCGAGAGGATGACCGACCAACACACAAAGATGAGCAGGCGCAGAAGGAAATAAGGAGCCATTCTAGTCGGAATCACAAGCAACAGGTCCGGGCCGGCCCTGCCTGGGGCAGAAGGGCGAGCGCCCGGGCTGCCCGCACGTACCTTCCCACAGCTTCCGATGCTGCTCTTTGGCTTCCTTCTCTGGCTTCTCGGCCTCCTCCTTCACCATCCGCAGCGTGTCCACCTGGTCCTCCAGGGATTTCTTCCCCTCCTGGAGCTCAACGAGCTTTTTCTGGGTGGGAAGAAGACGGGAGCCCCGTTCTGCTGCTTGGCCCCATCCTCATCGCTTTGCATCTCCCTGCCTCTTGTCCACAGGACACCCGGGGGGCAAGACCTCCTCACGGGGTCTGTCCCCTCACTACCATTCCCTCGGCCTCTGGACAGGAGCCCTGGGCAGGTTCCTGAAAGGTCTCTCCCACCCCTCCCGCTCATCCCTGCCTCACACCAGGATCCAGACTTTCTGAACAACACTCAGACCCCAAAACGCTCCTGGGTCTCTTGGTCTTTGTGGACGCTGTCCCTTCTGCCTAGAAGATCCCCATGGCTAACCCCAAACTAGCCTAGTTTTCACCTCAGACAGAAATAATCTCCTTCAAAACAACTATGAGGTAACATCTTGCCCCGGCAACAACAGCAAAGTTCAACAGGGCGGCAAACCACCAATGCTGGCGAGGTTGTGGACAGACGGCAACTCTAATTCACTGCTGGTGGGAGTGTAAAATGATGCAGCCATTACGGAGAGTGGTCTGCTGCTTTCTCAAAAAGTTGGAAATAGAAACACCTTTTGACCCAACAATTCCACTACTGGGAATATACCCTAAAGAAACCAGAGTCACCACTCAAACAGATGATACATGCAAACCCATGCTCACTGCTCCATTATTCACAGTTAGAAAGAGACGGAAGTAACCCAAGTGCCTCTCTACAACTGGATAGAAAAACTATGGTACATTCACACAACTGAGTATCACAAAGCATTGAAAAACAATGAAGTTGTAAAACATTACACAACATGGGGGAGCTTGGAGGACATTATGCTGAGTGAAATATCTCAGTCACAAAGGGACAAATACTGCATAACACTGCTGTTATAAAACAGGACTGACGTGGGAGGTTGTGGGGAGAATAGGAAGAGTGGTTTGATAATGAACACTTCATCAGAACAGAGAAGGACTATCTGAAAAGATTAATGTGTGATTAGACATTATCTGTATGACAAAAACGTGGAACAAGGGGTGCACTGCAATGTGGACCAGGGAGAGAGAGAGAGAGAGGAAAATGTGCAACAATGAATGAGAGCCCAACCTTTCTGTAAACCTTTGTTAAAATCACAATAAAAAAGAATCTCTTCCAGGAAGTCATCTCTACTACCCACGACAAGAGGTACAGGATGTGGAGGGGACTTATCCCCTCTGTGCCTCCTGACCTGAGCCTCTCTCCTCCTAGCTGCCCTGGGTGGTCCTTCCCACTGGACAATGTGCCCCCGAGGCAGGTCCAGATGTGGTTCCCACTCCTGCCCAGCGTTTGACATGTTCTGCACCTCTAAGGTCAGTTACGCCAAGAAGGAAGGGGGGCACTAGGCAGGTTGCGGCCAAAAGGACAGACAAGTGGCCAGAGTCTCCGGTCAGGCCAGGCCAGACCAGGCCACTCAGTCAAGCCTGAGCCCCCAAGAGCTTGCTTTCTCCCTGACATCTCGGCTAGCACCTCAGCCTGGCCTCCTGCCAGGATCCTCAGGAGGGCTGAGGGTACTTGGAGCTCATCTCCCAACGTGGTTCCCCCACTGCTCTCTCAACTTGAGAGGAGTTGTGAGGTACGAAGAGAGGGATGTGCAATCTTCTCCGGCCAGGCAGAAGCCCGGAACAGTGAGGATTCTGTGCCGTCAAAAAGACTGAGGGGCTGCAGGAGAGCTAAGGAGACGCAGCCTCTTCAGGCCCTCACAGGGCCCACCCTGCGAACTCACGATCACCTTGCTGAGTCCTCCCCAGAACTGGGCAGCCGTCACCCAGTAGACAAGTGACCAGAACGCAAAGAGGTGCCCCTCCTATCCCTGGGAGGTGGTGGAACGCCGGCAAGCCCAGCTCAGGCTAACGTGCAGAGCTCTGCTCTCAACATCTGTGCCCACAACTCCCACCTGATAACCTATAACCAAACCCCTGCCTCCCTGACGGACAGTGAGCAAAGCCCAGCGCAGACAAGCAGTAACTCGCCCCAGGACACTAGTTGGGGGGCAGGGATCAACCCCACCTGGACCTGCTGGCCTGGCCAGCCCTAGCCTCTCGCCCAAGGCACCTGGACCTCTTGGGGGAAAGCCCTGGGGAGGGGTGGGGGGCCCTCACCTGCTTCTCCTCCCGGGCCTTCTTCCAGTCCTCAATGAGGATCTTCTTCAGGCGGAACCCCTCCCGGGTGACCTCCGCCATCTGCTGCAGGGTCTCCCTCTCCTTACGGCCCTTCTCTCTGGGGGGAGGGGACATACAGGCCACCGCTAGGGGGCACTCGGGGCCCACCAGGTCTGTAACTCCCAAAGGGCTCAGCCCACCTGGCCCCACACTGGGAAAGGCCTAGAGAGAGAAAGCAGTTCTCCCTCCAGTCTCCAGGTCTCAGGACCAGTACTCTACATCCCTGGCCCGAGGGGGAAGCAGTGAGCAGGCTTTGCCCACCGTCACTGGGAGCATGAAGCCAGAACTCGGCTGCCCAGAGAGAAAGGCAAAATGAGACTACCAGACAGACAGACAATCTAGGTAGCACATATGTGCTGTGTTCCACCCACCCTCTACTTATATGATCTGGAACCAAAAAAGTTTACGTCAGTGCTGGGATGTGGAGCTTCTCTGACTGGACCTTCAGATACCCCCATCCTCACTCCCCACGGCGGCCTTGCTCTGAGCCGACGGGGGCTCACAAGGCCTGCACAAAGACACTTAAGTTACATTCTCCAGTTCAGCTGCGGAGCATGGCAGTGAAAAGCTGACGGACTCCAGTCTGAGCCCAGGTTCTGCTAGCTCCCAGCTACACAGCCCTGGGGAAGCCATTCGACCCTCTCGATTCCAGTGCCCTCATCTGCTGAGTTAGGGAAAGGTGTGCACCACGGCCAGGCCAGTCACGACAGGCTCCCGCGATGCCTGGCAGAGAGCCACAAAGGCGGGAAAAGCGAGGGGGGCCCGGTTCAGCGGAGGTGCCACGTACTTGCAGGTATTCTCACAGACGATGCCGCTGTTGTACTCATCTGTCCCGTCACAGCAGTCTGAGAGCAGAGGTGGGCTGCCATCAGAACTTTCTCCCTGGACATCCCCGCTGGCCTGCCTCTCCCCACCGGGAGACACCTTCACTCACCACACACTCCATCGTTGACCCGACTGGAGGGGATATACAGGGGCTTGTAGCCAGCGTTGGCACAGTGGAAGCTGCCATTAGGACAGGCTGCAGTACCTGGGCGAAAAGAGGTATGCAGGTGGGCAGGGTCTGCTCAGGGCTAGGCACGACCCCCACCACACACACACACACACACACACACACACACACACACACACTCTCTCTCTCTCTCTCTCTCTCTCTCTCTCTCTCTCTCTCTCTCTCCAAGAAAACACAGGAAGGAGGAGGAGAAGCCACACTCAGGGCTGGAATCTAAGCTCTTCCAAACAGGATGCTATCAGCCTCTTGCTCTTGGATTACGCTGCTCTTTTTTTAAAAAAATTTTTTCTTTTATTTTATTATCTTATGTGGGTACAGTCAAATCGGATCTGATTGGTACAGGAGGAGATTGTCCCTTCTCCAGCAGAGCATCTGTTGGATTTGAACCGTGCGCCTCTGGGATCGCAGTGCAGCTCCTTGCTACTATGCCACCAGGGCTCCCTGGATTCCAATGCTCTTCTATCCGTCCTCTTCGCGCCTCTGGGTGTGTGCACCCGCTCACACCATTGTCCACAACACCCTGCAGGATCCTCCAAGAAGCCTTTCCTGACGTCCAGGCTGTAGGGGTGGGCCCTGTGGCTGCCTCCCCAGAACACCAGCCTCGCATTTCTTGCCCCCCATTCAACAGGTAAGCCAGTTCAAGGTGGACTTGGGTCCAGGCTGGTTAACTGAGGCAGCCTGAAATTCTGCAGGTGTTGACGCAATGCCTGACGAATGAATGAATGAATGAATGAATGAAGAAAAGGCTCACCTGGTTCGTCTGAACCATCTTTGCAGTCACAGTAATCGTCGTTGACCTGATCGAAAGGGATGGTGGCAGAGCCATCGAGGCAAGTGAAAGGCTTGGACTCGTCGTAGAAGTGGTGGTCTGGAGAGGACACAAAGGGGTTCATCCCGGGGCAGGAAGAAGCCCCCCTTCAACCACCTATCACCTCCATCGCCCCCGCCAGCCGACCCTACCAACTTCTCTACCCAGAAGCTGGGAAATGGAGCAAAAGGCTTTTGGGCGCCCATCACAGGAGACAAAGGCCGACTGTCCCCCCACCTCCGGCCTGGCGAGGGGTGGACAGGGGCACTCACTGGACAGGGAGACGCCCCGGGGCCGCTTGACCTCCACGGCTGAACAATAGGGGAGCAGCAGCAGCAGCGATGGCAGCAGCAACATCGCTCCTGAGGTTCCGGGGCCGGAAACAAGTTCAGGAGGAAGAAGGGGAAGGGGCGATGGACGCTGCGGCGAGAAAAGGGAGCCAATGGCGGACACTCCTCCCCGTCACATAATGGGACATCAGGGTCCCATCCTGCCCCCCCCCCCAAAGCCCAGCCAAGGCGAGGGTCAACCTGCGCGATCAAACAAGGGGAGTAATCGCCAAAACCTCGGTTCCCTAGAGTCGGGGCGCGAGTTGTTCAACTCCCGCCACTAAAGCCCGAGGGGTTAAATCGTCTCCCCGCAACACACACCCCCTTCAGCCGCCCCTTTTAGAAAACTCAGCTGACTTTTCATTCACCAATTCATCACTTACACGAGGCCAGGGCCAAAGGTCAATACGTACAGCACCGCCCCCTCCCCCACGAGCCCAGCAGCCGCAGTTCCTGCGGCTGGGGGGGGAAACGGAAGTCCTCCACGTCACTTCCTGTCGCAGGCCGCACACCCAGGGCGGAAGGCCTAGGGCGCCATGTTGGGAGTGGCAGACGGGGACAGTGGCGCGGAGACCGCCATCTTGGGTAGGACCGAAGCCTCGGAAGGATAGCTCCGCAGACTCGCGCTTAATGGCGGCGCCAGGTGCCTCCATCTTGAGAGTGGCAGCGCTGCGGTCGGAAAAAAAAGGCTTTTTGCAAAATGCCCGCAAAAAACCCCCGGCAAGGGAACTAAAACGAACACGTGACTCCAAAGCGCACTCCCTCCCCCTCCCTCCCTCCCTCCCCACACACACTTGCGGCGCTGCTCTGCCCCGCCCACCATGGGGAACGCCCCCTCCGGGCGGTGCCAGCCAATGAGCGCTGCGGCGGTTTCCTTGGGCGCGCTCTGCCGGGAGGAGGGGGAAGCGGTTACCTAGCAACCAGAGTAAGCCGAGAGGCCCGCAAAGCTGTCGGAAAGTGCATCCCCAGAGCCCGAGGGATACGTGCAGGATCCCGGACAGGAGTGACTCCCAGTCGCCCCCCTAAGCCCTAGGGGCCCCCCGGCCCCCTCTAATCATGACGTCTCCGCTGTGCAGAGCGGCCTTCGCCAATGTTCCGCCTGCTCAGGACCAAGCTTCAAAGCCCTCCTCCAAGGCCGAAGGCAATCAGCCTCAGGCCAAGGCCGGCCAGCCCCGAGGCAAGGGTGCAGCCCGCGCCTGGGACCCAAGCCGTCCTAAGTCCGGACCCCTCCACCCCATCGGGGTGAAGCGGGCTGTGCACGCACAAGTGGCTGAGTTACAAAGGAAGATACAACTGTTAGGTAAGATGGTTGCAGAGGACACAGGACAGGGGTCAGCCGGGGCCACCCAGTCCTCTCATGGTGCCTGCTGGGGCCTGTGATCTCACTGCCATTGGACTGGGTGGTCAGTTTCTAGAGACAGAAATTGGTACATGCTTCTTGGTTTCTTTTTCACAACTTCTCCCGAGCTCAGAATTGAGCACCCTGTATTTCACACTTTTGTGTAATTAAAACTCTTCCATGGAAAGCTCTGGTGGCATGATGTGTAACTTATACCATCGAGTCAGAACCGACCCATAGCTGACCCTCCAGCAGATTTTCAGAGGCAGTAAGTCGCACGGGAGGAGATTGCCCATCTTTCTCCTGCAGAGCAGTTGGTGGATTCAAACCAGTTGCCTTCGGGTTGACAGCACAATGCCTTACCACTAGGCAAGAAGCTGCGCTGCAATCTTGAAGGCACGCAGTTTGGGTCCACCAGCTGCTTCGAGGGAGAAGGATGGGCAATCTCTTTCTGTGCAATTAGCTGCTTCTGAAAACCTATTGCAAAGTCAGCTATGGGTCAGTTCCGACTCGATGGTACACAACAACTAATAGCAACAGGCCACCAGAGCTTCCTGCCGTGCTGGGATACTGAGTGAAAAGGTTAGCAGTAGTTCAAACCCACAATTAGGTCTTTAGGAGCAAGATTCAAACAGATTTCCCATACAGATGAACAATCTCAGAAACTTGTTAAGAGGGTCCCTATGTGTCTGAGAGCAGCGGGTTTGGTTTTGGTATAATGATTGGAAAGGAGCCTTGGTGACACGGTGAATAAGCTGGCAGGCTAACAGAAAGGCTGGCAGTTCAAACCCACAAGGCACTCAGTGGGAGAAAGATACGGTAGTCTGCTTCCGGAAAGATGACATCCTGCAAGACAGTTCCACTCTGTCTTAGCCAGTCACTATGAGTTGGCATCAATGCAGAGATGCCAGCTTGGTTTTGTTATCATGCGTGGAAAGGCCAGTAGTGGTCAGTGGTAGAAGTCTCGCCTCCCATGCAGCAGGCCTGGGCGGGTTTGGTTTCCACCCACAGGACTGCAGCCATCATTCATCTGTGAGTAAAGATGTGTGTGTTACATGAATGCTGAATATAGGTCAGTGGAACCTCCGGACTAAAGCTAGGAGGAAAGGCCTGGCAATCCATGTCCAAATATCAGCGCAGGAAAGATCTATGGAGCACAATAGTCTGACCGCACTGTGCACGGCGTCATCTTGAGTCACAGGCTGATTCAAAAGCACTTGACAACATCAGATGTGGGGCTCTCGGGGAATGAATGCCAGAGCTTGGTTTTTTGGGAATTCAAGTCTTAGCTCTGTATGAACACTCGACGGGTACTAAGGGGAACCTCTCAGTTTTCTGCATCAGTAAAGTGGAGATAGTGAAGGTGCAAATTGTTATCCCAAATTGTTACCGCTAAGTGCTGTCAAGTCATTCCAACCTATGTGTAACAGACCTCTGTGTACTTGAACAAGACACTTCCCGTTCCTATGCCAACATCAAGGTCACAGCGACATTTGAGCACGTTGTTGAGGACCTTCCCCTGTGTTGTTGTGTGCCCTCAAGTTTAAACTGACTCATAGCTGACGATGAACCGCACGGAAGGACACTGCTTATATCTCTCTCTCGGAGCAGCTGGTAGACTCAAACCACTGGCCTTTGGGCCAGAGCTGAAAATCATTAAGGTTGAGGACAGTGCCTGGCACACAGTGAATCGCTATTTAAAGGAAATCCAACCCCACTGGCACGGAATCAATTCCAACACAGCGAAACTGCCCCTTCGGGTTTCCAAGTCTGTAAGTCTTTGTGGAAGCACACTACCTCATCTCCCTCCCCAGCAGCAGCTGGTGGATTCAAACCGCAGACCTTCCAGTTAGCGACTCAGTGTTTAATCCACTGCACCACCATGGCACCTTAAGTAGAAATCCGTGGTTCTCAATACAGAGGGACCATTTTTGCTCCTTAAGGGACCATTGACAATTTCCAGGGACATTTTTGGTTGTCTCATTTGGCTGAATGGGAAGGTAGGGATGGTGGTGGTCCTGGTCTCCAGGGGTGAGAGTTGAAGGTTGCATTGCCATGCTCAAGAAAGCCCCCCACCACAAAGATGTTACTCAGCCCCAGATGCATCATGCCAAGACGGGGAAATCTGGTGCATCATTGTTTTAATGGTTGTTGTTATTATTAGGGGGGTAACATGGGATAGTGATTGCAAGTGTGGACTCAAGAATGAGACTGTCTGTAACCTTGAACAAGCTGAGCCTCAGTTTTCTCACCTCTTAACATTGGTGTGATCATAATAGCGCCCGTTGACGTCATATAATCTGATCCTTACGAAGCTCTTAGTTCAGAACACAACACACAGCAAATGCTCAGAGTAACATACGGCAGGAACGTTAAGTCATGGTTATAAAGCTCTTCCCTCTGGGATGTTTCCTCTCCCCGCTGCAATGATGCTCTGCTTGTGCTTGCCCACCTCGCCTGCCCCCCCAGAGGGCGACCGGAAGGCCTTTTACGAGAGCTCCCAATGGAACATCAAGAAGAACCAGGACACCATCAGCCAGCTCCGTGAGGAGAACAAGGCACTCCAAAACCAGCTGGTGAACCTGCTCCAGGTGTGGGCGCAGAGACAGCAACGAGGGGGACCTGGAGGGCAGTGGGCACTGCCTTGGGAGGGGACGGGGGTGAGGGGTGACCAGGCTCCTCTCCTCGCAGGGAGATGAGAAAGTGGTGCAGGCAGTGATTCGGGAGTGGAAGTCAGAGAAGCCATACCTGAAGAACAGAACAGGCCAGGTTTGCTCTCCCACCTCCCGTCCCTGTCTGTGCTCTGTCCTCAGCCTCCCCACTGTGCTGTCTGGTCTCCAGTCCTTCAGAGCTCTCTCTGCACCAGCTGCCATGCACTCCCTCATCCAATGAAAGTCATTATTGCATACCTCCTGTGTACCTGTTGGGGGTCAGGTGTTGGGAACCCCCAGTGAACAAAACAGACCAAGTCTCCACTCCCAGAAATCTCACTCACTCACACATACACACACACACAAATAGACCAGACTGTCCTCAAAAGCTGCCACTATAGTTTCAGGGGCCATGAACCAAACATCTTTCTCCCCAAGTGGATTCACACCACCCCGACCTTTCAGGTTAGCAGCCCCGAGCAAAACCGCCTGACCCCGTGCCCACCTCGCGGTCACTGCTGGCCATCTTTTCCGCTGACCCTCCCCCAATCATGATCCCTTTCTCCAGGGATTGCCCCTCCTGGGGAGCCGCCCAACAAACACAAGGCACAGTCTCCCCACCTGGCTTCTGAGGAGGGCTCCAGCTGCACTTGTTCAAAGACAGATTTGCTTTTCCTTTGGGCAGTTGTATATTCAGCACTCAAACTCGCCTCAGACATATGTGACAGGAGCTGAGGCGCTCCGGTGGCTTAGTGAGAAAGAGCTGCGCTGCCAACCTAGATGCACATGGTTTGAATCCACCAGCTGCTCCTTGAGAGAAAGATGGGCAGTCTCCTGTCATGCATTTTACTGCCTCTGAAAGCCTACTGGAAGGTCAGCTGTGAGTTGGTTCTGATTCAACAATTGTTATTATGTGCCACTGAGAGCAACTCATAGCAATCCTGTATACAAGAGCCTTGAGCCTGCTCTGTTCTGAGCCAGCTTGATCATCTCTGACATGCCTGCCCTCAGGACCGCAGTCACTGAGTCAATCCATCTCATGGAGGGTTTCCTCCCTTTCTCTGTCCCTCCACCCTTCCAAGGATGACGTCCCTCTCCAAGGACTGGTCCCTCCTTGCAACATGTCCAAAATATGCCAGATGAGGCTGCAGAATCCTTTCCTCCAAGGAGCAGCCTGGTCTCACCCTCTCTAGGTCAAACCTGTTTGTTCTCCTAGCAGTCCATGGTATATTCAAGACTCTTCTCCAACACCATAGCTCAAAGGCATCAGTTCTCCTTATGTCATCCCTAGTCATTGTCCAGCGGTACATAACAAATTGAATAAGGAAGATGATGAGTAAGGAAGACCAAGAATTCTGCTAGTGACAAATGCGGACTATCTCATCGTATGAGGGTCCTTTGAGAAAGCAGCTAAAGGGTGGTGATGCGGGAGGATCAGCTGGGTGGGTTCAGGCCCCTGCTCTGGCCTCCGCCCTGCAGCAGGCCCTGGAGTTCTTGGACTACAGGCTGAGTGAGAAGATGAAGCGGCTGAACGCCCTGCAGCACGAAGTGGAGCTGAGGCAGAAGCGGCTGGAGGAGCTAGAACTCCAGTACAGCCTGCGGGAGCTCGAGCTGGCCGAAGTGCAGAACAACAACTCCGAGGTGGCCAAGGTGGGGCCACCGAAGCCGGCAAGGGGCCCTGGGGGGTAGTGTAGAAGCGGGGTCAGGGAGCCTCAGCCCCGCCCACTGCCCTCTAGACCGTTAGGAACCTGGAGAATCGGCTGGAGAAGGCGCGGATGAAGGTGGAGCAGGCGGAACACATCACCAGTGTATACCTGCAACTCAAAGCCTACCTGCAGGTGGGAGGACAGGGGCTGCTGCGGGCGGGGGGAGATGGACGCAAACGAGGGGAGCAGGTGTGAACAGGACATAGGCCTGCATCACGTCCAGGAGGAGAGCCTGAACTTGGAGAACCGGCTGGGCACAATGGAGGCCGAGGTGCTGCGGACCAAACACGAGCTGGAGGATCTGCACCTGGTGAACCAGGAGGCGCTCAACGCCAGGGACATCGCCAAGGTGCCTGCCCGCCTGCCTCCTCCCCATCTCCCGCGGTCCTACCCAACTAGAGCTCCTGACCCCGGAATCCGATCCCCAGCTGCCCCTGGCCTTCTCCCCCCGCCCCAGGACTCGGTGGCCTGCTTAGCAGGGTAGGGGTGCTAATCGGTGCCCTGGCTTCCCTGGCCGTCCGTCAGAACCAGTTGCTCCTTCTGGAGGAGACGGTGTACCGAGAGCGCAAGGAGCGCGAGCGCCACATCAACGACTGCAAGAAACGAGCGGAGGAGAGGAAACTGCAGACCGAGCGCATGGAGCGCAAGGTGGGTGCGCGCATGGAGCGCAAGGGGGGCGCGCGCAAGGCTGCGCCCAGGGCAGGACCCTCTACCTACAGCGTGCGCTGATGCCCCTCTGTGACTGGCCCCGGCCACGCCCCTTGTTTGGTCCAGAAGGAAGACTGACCCTACTTGGCTCTTGATACAGCTAAACCTACTTGACCCTGACTAAGCCCCCACCTCCAGACCACCATCTGTGCCACGCCTCCCCCCACATCCCTGACCACTCACTGTCTCATTCGTTCCCAGCCCCTCCTTTATAGTCCTCTTCCTAGGCCACCTCCAGGAGACTGTCACCTGCCCCAAATCGCCCTCTGCCTCTAGCTGGCCCCTGCAAGCCCCACCTCCCACACTTTCTTTCTCTGCCACCACCAGCCTGTCCCTAACCCCAGCCTGTCTCTCATTCCCATCTGTCCCTGATCCCCCCCTGTCCCTGATTCCTGCCTGTCCCTGACCCCAGCCTGCCCCTGACCCCAGCCTGCCCCTGACCCCAGCCTGTCCCTGACTCCCTCCTGTCCCTGACCACAGCCTGTCCCTGACCCCAGCCTGTCCCTGACTCCCTCCTGTCCCTGACCAC